ACCTGTTATCCTCGTTTACATCATTGTTGCCTGCCTATTTAGCCTTCCTGTGTTTGCTGTCCTGTGCTTGCACTGTAAAAAATGCCTGTGAAATCTACAGTTATTTACTGTAGATGTCACAGTAACAATACTGTAAAAGATTTTTACAGTAGAATATTGTAAAGTTTACAGTAAGACCTTAAAAATCACAGTAGTTCAAGCATTACAGTGGAAATCACAGTAGTCAAAGCATTACTGTAAAAAATCACAATACAGCCACTAAAGTACTGTAAATAGTAAAGTAAACTACTGTAATTTTCCTTTTTTTATCATATCTTTCTTTGTAACCCTTGTGTTGTAACTTGTACTCTGATGCACCTGCTGCATGAGCTTTCTATATATATATATATATATATATATATATATATATATAAAGAATTTAAATATCTTTTGTTTGTTTGTATTTGTGACTGTAAATGGGTGTTAACAGGGCATAAACATATTTAATCCTTATCTTAAACTTCTCCAAAGTCTCCCCTAACAATATAGGCTTCATAAATGCATAATTTTTTGAGATATCATATCATCCTCTGATTTGAAATGAAGCATGACCATTGGTTATAAGTTGCAATAGTATTCACACTTTTCTATAATATTAACATATACATTTTATAAATATATTCTTAATGTTGGTTGTTTTTATCTTTTAGCTTAACGTTATATACTTCAATATTAATAACATTTGATTAATCATGAGTTTTGAATTTGAGCCAAAACTCTCAAGCTTTCTAAGTATGTTTTGATTAATGTATCTATTCAGAATGAAGAAACCTTTTTATTATGTGTAGGTTATGTGTGCATTACTTTCCAAAATTGGGGCTGCCTGGTTAACTCATAAATACGTAACATGGGATTTTTATTTTACAAAAATCAGTGTTTTATATGTATATATATATTTTCGAAAGCAGGAGAGATAAATGTGCAAGTTTCCAGAGCTGTTTCTGAGCTGCAAGGCGAAATCAAAACGCCGTCAGAGTGGGCGGGGTTTAGGCAGTCAAAGCTAGAGTCTGTTAGAAAAAAGCGCGAAAGAAGCATTTGAATTTCTGTTTCGTCGTCAGTGACAGAAAAGCTAAGTTAATAGTCGAATTTACGTTTTCGTAACAGCCTTTAACGTTAAGCTCCGTTAATAAGTCTAGTATTTTCAAATGTGCGTTTCTTTATACACGGCTTTGTCTTGTGGTTGTAACGTTATTTATTTTGTTTTCGTCTTTGTGTTGATATCTTTCACTTTTTGCCTGAGAGGAATTCAGCGAAAACGTTTCCGTGAGAGCGCCGACGGAGACGTTTTTACAGCCTTTAAACGTTATTAGTATTAGTTAGCCAACAGTTTACCTAGTTATCGGTAGCTAGCTAGCCAGGAGAATATTTTTCCCCCACCCGTTGCCTCAGCCGGAGTTTCCATCTTGGGATCGCGGATCCTTCACCAACTGCTAATGGGGATTCGGGACTTCCAGAAAATCAGTAAGTTAAGTAACGTTAACTTTACGTACCATTTTACACCCCCCAACATAATGCAGGTTGACAAGCCTCCAATTGTTCAAGTAAATACAGGTTTGTTTGTGTCAGGTTTATGTTATTGGTGGTTGAGCATTTTTTCTTTAATAGACCTCACCTCACAATAATAACGTTAAGTTATAACATGGTGCTAACGTCTATCTCAATTATTGGTTAAATGCTGGGTAACTTAACAGTTAAAGTCACTGTTGTCCACTGTGTGAACAATATTTTAATTAAGAGAAAATTGATGTAACTTAGAGTGGTAATTGATAAAGTTATTGTGGTAAGTTACTTAGTTTTTTTATGAGTAAACATGCACAAACCTAAAGAGAAAAAAAAGGCTCATTGCTTTCTTATCAACAATTTTTATAAAGCTTTTTCTATCCTAGTTAGTTACCTTCTTTCGAGTGACTCTTTATCTTTGCTGGCATAGGAGACTAACGGTACCACTCCCTCAGATGTAGAGGCCCAGCTGTCTCCTCCCTATCACTCCAAGGATTATCATGCTTGGTAAGTTTCACATTCACTGTTAACAAATCCTTAATGTATTAACTTTATGCACAAGCAAAGCAACGTTTCTGGAAAACACTCGTGAATGCAATGAGTTTGTGTCGTGCCATTCTCTGCACTAGTCAGCAGTCACTTCAAAAACTTAAGTTATGTGGAGTAAGTTACTCTCTTATTTTTAGTAGCCACCTATAATGTCGTGATTACTATTTCAGATTGCTTGCTATGCCTGTGTCACTCATTGTTTTTCTATCACCAAACCAGTAACTGCTATTTAAAATCCTTAAATTCACCTCAAAATGAAAGTTTCCGAATAATTTACAAGATATCCATGTCTTTTTTCCTTCCTCAATGAAAGAGAAATGACATTTTTGTAGGAAAACATTTCTAGATTTTTCTTTGAATAATGGGCTCCAGTAGTCCAACAATTGTAGATAAAAAGTATATAAATTATAATTTTTTTTTCAGAAAATGACTGATCATTTCGCTAGATAAGACCCTAATCCTCAGCTGGGAACCTGTATAGTGCGTTGAAGTACTTCAAAGACCTTTGAAACTGCATTCATTTGGACTTTAAAACGTTGTTTACAATTGAAGCCCATTATCCAAAGAAAAATCAAGAAATGTTTTCCTAAACTTAATTTCTCTTCCACTGAGGAAAGAAAGACATGGATATCTTGGATGGCATTAGGGTGAGTAAATTATTAGGAGATTTTCATTTTGAGGTGAACTAATCAATCCTTTAATCCACTGCTTCAAAGATATGTATGCTCCCTGCCCTGTTTTTACAATAATTTATGTGGAAAAAATCTTTTATTGAATGTATCGCTATGAAATATAATTTTTGTGATGACTCTTGTCTTTACTAAGGAGAGACTGCAAAAAAATGGATGCTGTCGATCAAGGGGAGGGTCGTAACCCCACCTGGTGCTCACATGGTGGACTTCACCACTGCCTTGGCCGCTCTATTCGCCTGTTACGTATTCAACATACAGTATTAGATGGAAGCCAGCACAACACTGGAGTTTGATCAGAGGTATTTTTATATTAAATAATTTGACTGCAATGTAAAAGCACATTGACAATTGAAAAGCTGTTCAAAATCATCTTCTCCCTTTAAAATGTTATGTAATAGGTAGGGCCCTATGAAATCCATTTTATTTTTTCCCAAATTCCGTTTTATTTTTTCCCAAATTTCGTTTTTTCCGTTTTAATTTTAGGGAATTAGGTTTTTTTTTACCCTTGACTGTTAATTTAGTTGTAAAAAATAGTATGCTTTTAAAGTTAATGATAAAAATGTATTAAAAAAATAAAAATAAATTAGGAATGACCTTAAATTTATTGAGGTAATACAGACAATTACTCAGTAGCCTTTTCAGGACAAATACTGCATGATGCAACATAACACTGCACTCTTCAAGTAACAACAAAATATGGTTATGAGCTTTAAACTGTCCAGTAATATAAATTATATTAGTTTATAAGTTTAAATAAAGTCACACTCTGTCTCTCATGGAGTTCGCTTCGCCTTTGTCCAGTCCGGCGCCTCAGACAGACGTGGTGTGCACGTCGTGTGTGTGTGTGTGTGTGTGTGTGAGAGACGCGTGAGTGAGAGAGAGACGGAGGGAGAGCGGGGAAATACAACTGAATGAATACGCTGCGTGTTTTAAATAGTGTTAAAAACCGAAACGCAGTATGTGGCGGCGAATTAAGTGTGGTAAACACTGCATAAATCACGTGCGAACTGCTCGGCACTGACGGCTTATAGCGTTGAGTTTCTTAACTTTTAGTCGACGAATGGAGAGCCGCTTCGCCATGCTTTCATTGTTTTGATTTCGTCATTGGAGCTGAAATGACGGGTTGGGGGGTTGAGTCGCCCAGATTTGCTTCCCCCGGTCTGCATTTTCACCAGACATACGTTCTTCTCCCACACAAAAACAGAATTTCAAACCAAATATGTAAAAATCCACGAAATTCCGCGTTAACACTAGATTCCGCGTTAATTGGCCAATTCCGCGATTCCGTCCGCGATTTCGTTATCGCGGAAATCATAGGGCCCTAAATAGGGCTGGGCGATATGTCTGAAAACTGTATCACGATATAAGTGTTTCATATTGGTTGATATCGACAATTATTTATATTTTTATGACCTATTTAAAATAAGGACCATGAGACAAATATATTACATTTAAACATTTTTATTTTAAACCTAAAGGATTAGTTCACCTCAAAATGAAAATTTCCTTATAATTAACTCACCCCAATGGCATCCAAGATATCCATCTCTTTCTTTCTTCAGTGGAAAAGAATTTAAAGGGGAACTCCGGCGTAAAATGAACCGTTGGTCTAATAACACATTTTTACCTAGTCAGCCGTTCTCTGATATTTGTTTTCATGATAATCGAATGTAAAGAGTTTTATCTCTAAAAACTGTTTAGATTATAACGCTAGTATATGGGGACATATAATAGGTTAGATCTATCGCTAGTTAATACCACTAACAAGACTCAAAATAGCCCCACACTAACACCAAACGGCATTCGTGGTTCGACTTGTCGAGACTGTTTTCCCAAGATGGCTCCTGCCTGTATACGCGAAGTGGACTGTCTTGATAAAATATCTTCTTATTATACTGTCTGTACACTTACAAAGTTCTCAATGCTTCGTTTTGGATGTAGGGACCCTCATTATGTTACTATGTTAGTGTGGGGCTATTTTGAGCCTTGTTAGTGGTATTAACTAGCGATTTCTTTTTACTTAGTCAATGCCCCCATATACTAGCGTTATACACTAAACAGTTTTTAGAGATAAAACACTTTACATTCGATTATCATAAAAACAAATCTCAGAGAATGGTCGACTAGGTACCAATATGTTATTAGACCAAAGGTTCATTTTGCACTGGAGTTCTCCTTTAAGAACTAATCCTTTAAAGGGGAAATTAAGCAGTCAATCAAGTTTACATGATTTACTAGATGGATTTCCACTATAATCAACAATTATACAAGACACATGACAAATGTAAACATATAAAAGAAAAAACTTTATATCTTTCGCCGCCAGGGTGCCGCCATTGCGCAGTATTCTAACATGTGACGTAACGGGGTTGGTTGGCTTTAGTTAATAGGCTTTGGGCAGTGAATATCCCAACATCAAACTGTTTACGCCACAGTGTTTTAACCACGGACGACTAATGTTAGGTACAGTTATTAGCCAAAAAGACAATGTCTAATGTTATGTTGACAATCTGCACTGTGTTCACGTGTTCAAACATTGTTCACGATGTCTGCCATCATATTCCCGTCTCGTCAACACCATGTAAGTTACGTTGCTATGTAGAACAGCCGGTGGTGGTTTGGGGCGAAGAGCGGGTTTGCAATGCTAACAGGTGTCAGTATGGCTGTTGAATTGCGATGCCCACTGTGTCAGAGTCCATCTGCTTTCAAGAGGTTGATCTTGACCATGCGTGGTCAATTCTGCATCACTGGCACGCACGTTTACCATGCTATACCATCTATACTAGTTAAATCTCATAAATAACTACAAATAACTAATGTTAGGGTAATCTGTTATTTTTTGTTGCGTGTTTCTTAAAATATATATATATATATATATATATATATATATATATATATATATATATATATATATATATATATCTATCGGCCGATATATAGGAATATCGGATTTTAAAACCAACAAATATTTGTATCGGTATCGGCCTTCAAAATCCTTTATCAGTCGGGCTCTAGTTAAAATAACTGTAAAAATAATCAAAATAAAATAATAATAAAAAATAATCTGTCACGAGACGTCTGAATCGGTGTATAACAAATTGGTAACACTTTACAATATGGTTCCATTTATTAAACTCTAGTTAACTACTTTAGTTAACATTAACTATTAATAAACTGCACTTCTACAGCATTTATTAAACTTTCTAAATGTTAATTTCACCATTTACTAGTAGCCTAAATTATTTAAATAAGTTGTATTTGTTAAAGGAACACTCCACTTTTGTTTTTTTATTGGCTCTACAACTCTCCCAGAGTTAAACAGTTGAGTTTTACCGTTTTCGAAACCATTCAGTCGATTTAATGTGTTTTCTTCTTTAATTTCAGGGCTCCAAATAGGATTCTCTGTCTCCAAGGTCAAGGCATGCAAGAGGCCACAGACCTTTGCCAAGTGGCAGGGGAAGTTTATTTTCCTTTCTGTTTTAAATGTTCATGCAAATGTTAAATATATATTTTTTTAAAGTTCAATGTTTTATTTTATTTCAATATTGCCATAATGTTATTTATTGCTCTTTAGAATGGGGTAATCAGTTATTTGCACAACTTCAAAATAGTTAAATTTTTTGACTGTATTGTATCAATTTGCATTATTGTTCCATTATAGCAACTAGTCATACGGAACTAGTGAATGAACTAGTAACAGTTTGCTCTGTAACTTTACAAATCTTGTAATGAAATAGGCTCGTTGTATCAATTTGTATTAGCCTATTGTTCCGTCATAGCAACCTGTCATACAGAACTATTGAATGAACTAATAAGAATTTGCTCTGTAACTTTAAAAAAACGTTTTGTAAAATTTTCTTCAGTCGTAAATTAAAGGAACACGACAACTTGTTGGGACTTTAGCATATTCACTGTATCCCCCAGAGTTAGATATATCTCGTGCATGCTGTAACTCTGTCTGACACACCCACCGCTAGCCTATCTTAGCACAAAGACTGGGTCTAAATGGCTCCAACTAGCATACTAATCCCAATAAGTGACAAAATAACGCAAACATTTTCCTATTTACATGTTGTGATTTGTATAGTCACAGAGTGTACAAAAAACAAGGTCATATGTGACACAGCCATCTTTACCGTATAAATATTGGGAACTATATTCTCAGAAGGCGAAGCACTGCTACTTGGGCGGAGTGATAACCGCAGCACCCGAGACGCGCCATGGAGAGGAGCAGAGAGTTCGTTCAGAGTTGGAATAATAGAGTCAGCAATTACTAGATAGTGAAAGCATAGTTTACAATCATGGGTGTTCGCTGTATTGTAAAGAGCTGCGACAATAAATGGGAGACCAGGTAATGCCATGATGTTTCATAGAATTCCAAACAAAAATGCTGACCTGTGATATTTATTAGTCAGGATGCATTTTTGTTTGGAATTCTTTGAAACATAATGGCATTACCTGGTCTCCCATTTATTGTCGCAGCTCTTTACAATACAGCGAACACCCATGATTGTAAACAATGCTTTCACTATCTAGTAATTGCTGACTCTATTAATCCAACTCTGAATGAACTCTCTGCTCCTCTCCACGGCGTGTCTCAGGAGCTGCGGTTATCACTAGCAGTGGTTCGCCTTCTGAGAATATAGTTCCCAATATGCGGTTAAATGATGGCTGTGTCTCATATGACCTTGTTATTTGTACACTCTGATTTATACAAATCAAAACATAAATAGGAAAATGTTTGCTTTATTTTGTTACTTATTGGAATTAGTATGCTAGCTGGAGCCATTTACATCCAGTCTTTGTGCTAAGCTATAGGCTAGCGGTGGGTGTGTCAGACAGAGTTACAGCACGCATGGAGATGAAAAAGGTATGTAAGGATTTATCTAACTCTGGGGGATACGGTGAAAAAGCTAAAGTCCCAAAAAGTCAGAGTGTTCCTTTGAATTTAGCAACAGTAGAATAAGCATGATAATAGACTTCACGCCATTAGACTATCTAAAGTTAACACTCCGCTGGGTGTTGTGGCCACATTACTTGCATAGAACGTGCATTAACTTTGGATGGTATAATGGCATGTTGTCCAATGTCCATTATCCCTTTGTTGTACCTGTTTTGTCATTTCTGTTCACCAAATCTTTTTAAATAAATAACTGTTAACAATTTTCTTATTGTCTGCAGTTGATTGCAATGTTTTAGAAAAATGGGTGTTTCTTTTAATGAT